CATATGTCTTTTCGATCTTTCATTCGACTCTGATGGCTACTTGTATCACCCTGTATATCATTATTTCAATTCTTTTATTATCATCTGTCATCTGCCTTACGCCATCTGCCTTACGACTGTTATACCTCATCGTTTGCTTTCGGCTAGGTTAGAAGCACCGGAAGTATCAGCGAAAGAAGATGGTCTCTGATTGGTCGGTTGAGTCACGTTCTTTAACCCGGAAGGTGGAGGAGTGGGTATGGTCTATTGGTTTTGTGAGCAATCCGTTCCGTATATATTTTTATAACAAAAAAGCGTTTGCTTTCGGTGAGGTTCAAAGCACCGGAAGTATCACAAAAGGTATACGTCATCTATCAAACGTTATCTGTCATATGTCAATCGTATCTCTCATACGGCATATGTTATATATCGTATTCGGCGAGGAGGATGATAGCACTATGAGTATAATGGGACAGTATACAGTATCATGATGAGAGCCGAACATGACCGTTTGATTTCAGTGAGGTTAGAATCACCAGGATATGAGCTATTCAGCAAATTCGACAGGATGTAAGCATGAACCGCACTTGCAGGCACACCCTGTATACCTCTGAAGTTTTTCCATTCTTGAATGGCTCGTGACGTCATCAGCCACCTGCGAACAAAATGAGGTTTCAATATTGATGATATCTCTCAGCGAGAACAAAGGAGGCATTGTTGGATGACTCATCGGCCACCTGCGTTAGAACAATGGACCCCTCGCTCTCTCGGAATTCCAGGAGAAGGGTAGTGGCTGGGGCTGGAGAGAACAAAGGCGGCATTGTTCTAGAGGAAGTCTAGATAACATATGGCAAACAAAGGAGGCATTGTTCTACGAAGTCGAGATAAGGATGACTCATTGAGCACCTGCAACATGCATATCGGGTGACCTTGAAACAAAGTGCTACCGATTGTAGTAATACCAACCTAAATCTGGTGAAGAACAAAAAGTCACTAGATTGTGACGTCATCCACCACCTTTCAAAAAGAAGAAGAAGAATGGATATGTCCTAGGACACACCCATGAGCTCTAGAGTCTAGAGTCCAGAGTCTAGGGGGCTAAGTTCAGAGTACTTCCACGTGTCATCTGTCATTCCTTGTGTTCCATGTCATCTGTCGATCACTTGTCATCGGTCACCTGTCATCTATCGCTTGTCATCTGTCACTCGTCGTCTGTCACCCTTTGTGTTCCATGTCATCTGTCACCCCCTTGTGCTCCATGTCACCTGCCACTTGTCATCTGTCACCTGCCACTCGTCGTCTGTCACCTGTCACTCTTTGTGTTCCATGCCATCTGTCACACCTTGTGCTCCATGTCACCTGCAACTTGTCATATGTCACCTGTCACTTGTCATCTGTCACGTGTCATCGGTCACGTGTCACTTCCGGCGGCCATCTTGTGACGTCACTTCCGTGCAGCCAACACCTTCTACCACAGGACCGGTTGTGACGTCACTTCCGGCGGCGGTCATCTTGGGCTGATGGTAACGTAGGTACACTACTGTGCACACCTACCAGATATAAAGTGAAAGCGGTGAGTGAATTCTTAATCAAAAGTAACTTGAGTATATAAGAAGTATAATAATTCAAATTAATCCCAAATTCAAATGCTACTCAGAAGAGGATAAACCCGGAAACCCAGAGGAGAGTATGGTAAAGAAGCCATCAGACATGCCACACGGCATATTTTTTTTCGGTATTCATCTGCGATAGATATTTCGACTATTCCACAGAACCAATCAAAATCGACCATTTTCACAGTATCGCCTGTATTACTAGACAACAGGCTGTCGTGAAAATCTCCGTGCTGAGACATAGTGAATAATTTTGGAGGGTGGATGGAGCACGTATTCGAAACTCCCCGATAACGGTCACAGGCAAGCTTTTAGACCAATCACAACGTTGAGTTTCACGCGTGCGTATTTCGGCTCAAGTTTTTTAATTCGGAATGCACATCATTTTGAAATTGTTTGAATTTTGAATTATTCTGGACATTGGAGTCATCATAAACTACTCTTGGAGTTCTGGACCACAAATGATGGCAGATTTTCATTACGATCGATAGGAGCATTGATTTCGATCAACTCATTGTCAATTAATTGGAAATTGAAGTAAAATACGCACGCACTTCACCTACTACAATCACAATAATAATATCTGTGTTAATATTTATAGAACTTACTTCCTCTTTGGACCACGAGAATAAAGGAAATGGTAAAACTGCATTTATCATGCGATGTGTTTTTTTTCGAAAATGTTTTTTTGGTACTTACGTATTTTTGTCTGAAAAACACGAATTTGATAATGAAAATGTAAACAAGTTATTATTTATCATGATATCACGAATGTCACCTCTTTTCCGCCTGATTATCACAATGTACGAAACATTTTTTTTTCTATTATATGAGTCAACTAGAAACATGATTTTCTTGTGATATTAGTTATTTTTGTATCTAGAGCGCAAAATGCTACTTTGGTGATCGAGATCTGATTTTTTTAACGAGGCGTAGCCGAGTTAAAAAAATAGTCGAGATGACCATAGATTAACGACTCAAAGTATTTCGCGCTCGAGTTGCAAACAACAGTTTTTCTACAGACGTCAAAAAATATATTTCTAAAGTAAAAATATGCTTAGCTTGATATAAAAAATGGTGTTGAACTGGCTTAGAAGGCCTCAGACTTGCCTCCCCTATCCTCCCTAGGTAGGCACGATATTCCACGAACATAATAGAAATTTCCTTTTGTACGCTCCAAGAGATAAAACGAAGTTATTGTTGAACATTCAGGAATAAATGATTTTTTGGATGTTTTCTCGATTAAGGACCATTTAGTTGAAATATAAATATCTCATATATTTTCCATAACAATGCGCGAAGTAGGTACGTCGCGCACTGTTTTACTTCGCACATTGTTTGGTGCAAGATATCATGGTAACATAGGAAACTGAAAAAAAGTGTCACTTCGCAATTTGCTATCAATGCGCGAACCTTGTCATTTTTTGACGTTTGTAGAAAAAAAATATTTAGTGAAAAGAAGGAAGAATATCATTTGAAATAATGGCGTGTGTAATGTCATTCAAAAGCATTGACTTGATTAAATGGCCGTCATCTGGTATGCTTGTTCGACTAAATATGAAAAACTCGTCATGCAAATCATATTTCCTGTTGAATTTTATATACAGGGTGTCAATTTGAAAACTTCCCACCCTCAATATCTCCCTCCAAGTCGATAATATGGAAAAACGAAAAGACAGGTCGATTTTATTTTCGAGGGGGACATGGTTCTAAAATATGTTCAGCCCCGCGGCGTTGCCGCTTCTAACGAAAAGAAGCAACAACTTTGTTATTTCAAATGAAACACCCTGTATTTTATTGCATTATTAGATTCTCACTGAAAAGCTGATTTCATCAATGTATCACACTTGGGGTCTTGCAGGAATGATTACAGAGATATAGGGTGTTCAAAATCGAGATTTTACAACTTTAGGATTTTTTTGAGTCGAAACTATTCATTATTGGTCAAAGCGGCTTCTATGTCCCTATCTCAACTTTTGATTTACTATCTACTGACATTTATTTGAAACAAATACAGGGTGGTTCAAGATTCAGACTTTTGATCACCCTGTATTTGTTTCAAATAAATGTCAGTAGATAGTAAATCAAAAGTTGAGATAGGGACATGAAAGCCGTTTTGACCAATAATGAATAGTTTCGACTCAAAAAAATCCTAAAGTTGTAAAATCTCGATTTTGAACACCCTATATCTCTGTAATCATTCCTGCTAGACCCCAAGTGAGATACATTGATGAAATCAGCTTTTCAGGGAGAATCTAAAAATGCAATAAAATACAGGGTGTTCCATTTGAAATAACAAAGTTGTTGCTTCTTTTCGTTAGAAGCGGCAACGCCGCGGGGCTGAAAATATTTTAGAACCATGTCCCCCTCGAAAATAAAATCGGCCTGTCTTTTCGTTTTTCCATATTATCGACTTGGAGGGAGATATTAAGGGTGGGAAGTTTTCAAATTGACATCCTGTATATATATGTGTTATTGAAGAACATCATGAGTATATAAAGTGTCCACTGACGAAATAAAAAGAGCAAATACCTGTAAATGCATCCAACACGATAAGGGGAAAAGGAAGGCAAAATTTCGAACTTTTTCTTTAAATATCTCGATAAATAGTGGTTTGTTCACATTTTCATTATCAAAATCGTGTTTTTCAGACAAAAATACGTGAGTCCCAAAAAAAATTTTCGAAAAAAAAAACCATCACAATCATGATAAATGCAGTTTTCACCAAAATATATTTTTAGTTACAGCAATTTGTCCTAAACTTCATTTTCCATTTCCTATCACATGCTTCATCAACTGCTAAACAATATATTACCTGACACTTGGGAAATAATTCATTGATCATTATTCGATGTATGACTCGGTGATTTAATATATATATATATATAAAATGAAGGTGATATCGAGGGAACTGTAAATAAAAAACAAGGAAGAGATTAGTGGACATAGCCCTCATGAATAAATAACCGTACTGATGAGGGCCGAAAGCCCGAAACACGTGTCTACGGTTATTTATTCATGAGGGCTATGTCCACTAATCTCTTCCTTGTTTTTATATATATATATATATATATATATATATATATATATATATATATATGGTATTCAAATTGCCCTCGATTGTCTCAAATTTTTGGTACACACTTTATATGCGACAATAATTTCTCATTATAGATCCTGTTGTCTATAGTTTACATTCGTTTTGGAATGATAATTCTAGCTATCTTAGGACCCGAGCAATCGGACTCTCTTACACTATTGTCCCACCCTGTATACTAGCAAGCAATTTTTTGTGTGCCAGATGAATATTGACTCGAAGGAGATATATTGTTATCTTCTTCACCTTGGGATCAATCAAACAAAAACATTAATATTTATGCCATCAGCTATATTGAAATTTTATTGTGTGTTTTAATGAAATCAATAACGAGAAAATAGCAATGCCTATAATTGAATCGGTTGCTCATTGAGTTGAATAAAGTGATCAAATCATGTTCGAGCTCTCCGTAGGAATTTCCTTTGCAATATTAATTTCTGGTATGTAAGTATATTGATGATTGTTTTTTGATGATGCATGTATAAATCGTGCGGTAGTTTTGTTCTTATAATTTCTCAGCAAGGCCCATTCTCAATTTATTTATTTGCTTGAATATCAATAATTGTCTCTCAATAATAAGATCCATTTTGACATAGGTAATCGACAGTGTTAAGATAAATATGTCCAAGATAAGGAAACGAAAAATCATATCCTGAATTTTCAAAAGTAATTTCATTGGCTCTTCAATGATCCAAATTTTTCGTTGGTTCAAACAAATTTGAATCTCTTGTAGTTTCCAAAATACCCATACTGGTCCTCCCCAACTTGGACAGAGTATATATCGAAAAACATTATATCAAAAGACAAAATATCGAAAACGAAATATCTAAATAATACCGACCAGAAAACATATCGAAGGGATAAAATGTCAACTGACACAACAGCGAACGGAAACATTATCGAATCACTATCGGAGAGAAAAAATATCGAGTATATTATTAAATATTATCGAATAACAAAAATATTTCTATAATGATGCGATTCCATGCAGAAAATCCATTCATGAAAGAGTTTCTGTATGGTATTTTGAGAGAACAGATTATGACAAAATTGAAAATTTTTCATGAGATTTCAGGTCATGAAGAACCAAAGAATAAGGAAATAGAAAGATTAAGCCAGAAGTTTTCAACAGTATAGTTCGCTCTTTTGAAGTATATTTCGACGAAGACGACCTGATTTTTTCTATTAATTAGGTACGTTAATAGTTTAGTAAACGACATTATTTGGGAACGACATCTTTTCAAGATAATCAAGTAATAATATTTTCATTCCTGTTCCTCCTGCTCATTGTCGAAATAAAAGCGTTTCATATATTTATAACGATTTTCAGAATATTTCCTTTCATGTAGAATAGACCCTGAAACTGATATTAGACAGGTAAGTTTCTTTTGAGTAAGTAGTGTTTTTTTTTTGTTTATCGGATCAATAAATATGTGAAGTATTTTATAATTTTTATACATCGTTCAGGATTCATCTTCCTAACAATTCGAAAGAATAGACAGGTTTGTATGTTAAAAATAAATAACTCGAATAATAGGTACAATAATATTACTTTTTCATACTCGTAAGGTTTCTTCGTACAGGATATTTCTTCCTAACATATACTTGAAGATTTGGAAATGGTCGATCATGCTCGATATTTTGTTCTCCGATATTTTGTTATTCGATATTTTCTTCTATCTATATAGAGTCGATGGTACCTTAGACGTATACGAAAAACGGTACATTGGATTATCCTGAAAATTTGGTTACTCCAATAAGCGTTTGTGATCTAACGATTCAAAATATTTTCAGCGAAGCAGCGTTGCCACTTTTACCAAAAAGTAGCATCATCTTTGTTATTTCAAATGGAACATCCTGTATTTTATTGCGTTTTTAGATTCTTCTCGAAAAGCTGATTCCATCAATGTATCACACTTGGGTCTAGCAGCAATTATTACAGAGATATAGGGTGTTCAAAATCGAGATTTTACAACTTTAGGATTTTTTTGTGTCGAAACTATTCATCATTGGTCAAAACGGCTCACATGTCCCCGTATTAACTTTTGATTAACTATCTACCGACATTTAATTGGAAAAAATACAGGATGGTCCAATATTCAGAATTTTGATCACCCTGTATCTGTTCCAATTAAATGTCAGTAGATAGTGAATCAAAAGTAAGAATAGGGACATGTAAGCCATTTTGACCACTAATGAATAGTTTCGACACAAAAAAAATCCTAAAGTTGAAAAATCTCGATTTTGAACACCCTATATCTCTGTTGTAATTGCTGCTAGACCCCAAGTGTGATGCATTGATGAAATCAGCTCTTCGAGAAGAATCTAAAAACGCAATAAAATACAGGGTGTTTCATTTGAAATAACAAAGATGATGCTACTTTTTGGTAAAAGTGGCAACGCTGCATCGCTGAAAATACTTTGAATCGTTATATCACAAACGCTTATTAGGGTAACCAAATTTTCAGGATAATCCAATGTACCGTTTTCCGTATACGTCTAAGGTACCATCGACCGTGGGCCACCCTGTATTTTCTCACGTCGATAGTTTGATTTTGATTATTTTCCATTTGATATATTTTCCATTCGACATTTATCACGTTCTCCGCCACGTGAACCAATCGAACTCATTTCTTTAATGATAGTATCACCACCTTCGAAATATCTATGAGCCCATTGAAATTTGCCTAAAAATGCTATGCACAAAATTAAATACATTACTTATACTCGCAAAACAATTATTAGACTTAGATTGGTTCAGTGAAAGTTGTGACTTTTTCTATCAACTTTGGGTTTAAATTTCATTCAGGTCTAACTACTGTAACTTTTGATCAGATTGTACTGACTAATACTAATTTTCAATTATTGAAAACATATGGAATGGCATATTATGGCATTGTAAAAATTAGTAACAGTGTCTTCAGGACATTGATAATAGTAGGTGAGCCGGCTGCAGATTTCTACCGTCATCTGATATCGAAATGATATAAACTACTTACCAGATGAAGTGGGACAGCCAAAAAATTGACTAATTTTGATAAGCTATAGCTCGAACATTTCTTGGCCGATCTTGGATTTCCAACCGAAGGTAGAAAGCGTCATCCTTGGGCTATGCGTCATTGGCGTCGGATTTTCATTTTTGCGATTCGTTCTCTTTGTACAGAGTGTGAATTAAGAGCCGGAAAAATTTCAAATTTTTGACCAATAATTTGGGAAATGTGAGGGATCCTAGAATTATTTTTTAGATGTTTGGTGAATGGTTGGTCCCATACCTCGAAACGTCTTTGAAATTTTTTTGATAAATTGCGTTGCTATGGAAAAATCACCATTTTATGAAATTCCATTTATATTTCAAAATGTGACCTCTTTTAGTTAAACAATAATAGCCAAAATCAAAACTGCAACAAAGGATATTTCTACTGAAGATAATCAACACCAGTGACGCGCAAAAAGGGGTTTATGATATTTAGAAACGAAAAATTTGTTTTTATTGAAAAAATTCAACAGTTTTATTGATCGTTACAGTTGAAGAGGTGTCATACCCTCAATTAGCATATGTTGTCAAATTCAGAGGCGTCCAAAAAAGGGGCGTATGATATTTAGAAAAAAAAAGTTTTTATCTAGAAAAATCAACAGTTTTATTGATCGTTACAGTTAAAAAATTGCCATACATTTAATTAGCATGATGTTGACAAATTCAGAAGCGTGCAAAAGATGATCCTGTGATGTAAACTAAAAAAAAAACACAAATAAATAATTATTCATAAAAAAATAATCTGAATATCATTTTAGCAACGCGTTGGCCCCACTCTAGCCTGAATAACTGCCTGGCACCGACTTGGCATGCTCGAAATTAATTCGTTTATTAGTTCTATAGGAACTGCATCCCAGATGTCCTTTTGAGATCGTCAAGAGTTTCTGTCTGACGTTCCCTTCGGGAAAATTCCAACTTCATCCAACTCCAGATGTGCTCAATGGGATTCAAGTCTGGAGATCTGGGAGGCAATTCACTACGATTTATATTTTGGTCTTGCAGATACCTCTTCACTAATATTGCCCGATGAGGCCGAGCAATGCAGAATTGATTAAATATAGAAGTTAACGAAAGAATCCAGTACTGCTTACTGACACTACCAGTAGGCCCATACTTGGTCAGGGATATTTTTTTTTTACTTTTTCAGTCATTCAAGATGAGCATCCATTAATACAAGGCGATTCAAAAATTTTTCATCGTATGGAACCGTTTTTAATAATTTTGCTAAGTGTTCTCTGTTCGCCCAGTAAAAAATTCCTTGATCGTGGGTATTTTTGATGAGCCTCGTATCCCTGGCCATGTATGGGCCTGCTGAATTTTATTTTACGGGGTCTGAGTAGTGAGAATGAGAAACATATTTATCTAAAAAAAATGCTTTATCAGAAAGAGAAATATATGGCAACTTTCTAACCGTAACAATCAATAGAACTGTTGAATTCCTTCAATAAAAACGAATTTTCCGTTTCAAAATATCATAAACCCCTTTTTGCACGCCACTGGTGTTAATTATCTTTAGTAGAATTATCACTTGTTGCAGTTTAGATGTTGGCTGTTATTGTTCCACTAAAAGAGGCCACATTTTGAAATGAAAATGGAATTTCATAAAATGGCGATATTTCCATAGCAACGCAATTTATCAAAGAAATTCCAAAGATGTCTCGAGGTATATTTTGAAACGGAAAATTCCTTCAATAAAAACGAATTTTCCGTTTCAAAATATCATAAACCCCTTTTTGCACGCCACTGGTGTTAATTATCTTTAGTAGAATTATCACTTGTTGCAGTTTAGATGTTGGCTGTTATTGTTCCACTAAAAGAGGTCACATCATTTTGGAATAAAAATGGAATTCCGAAGATGTCTCGAGGTATCAGACCAACTATTCACCCAACATCTGAAAAATAATTCTAGGGTCCCTCACATTTCCCAAATAATTGGTCAATATTTTGAAATTTTTCCGGCTCTTAATTCACACTCTGTAGAGAGAGAACGAATCGCAAAAATTAAAACCCGACGCCAACGACGCATAGCCCAAGGATGACGCTTTCTACCTTTGGTTGGAAATCCAAGATCGGCCAAGAAATGTTCGAGTTATAGCTTATCAAAATTAGTCAATTTTTTGGCTGTCCCACTTCATCTGGTGAGTAGTTATATGTCCCAAAGGAAAGTAATGAAAACATTGTAGTTCATCGAACGGCACCTCTCTGCTAATTGCTATCCTGAGCAGAATGATGAAAAAATTGCACTTTTCTGTGCGGAAATTTGCACTCGATTTCGCGATTTGATAACGAGATAAGACTTATATATGTCATCCGATTCCAATTGAATGGCATAGATCTCAAAAACCTACCTGTGCCACCCCTCAGTCTGAGTCAAATCCACGGCACAGCGATTTATTTGCTCTTATT